ATCTCATCATAAAAATTGAATGAAGAGTTGCTTCTTAAGGATGAACAAATAAATAATTTCTTGAGATGGACTCTACTCTTGGTGAAGCTACTGTACACATTGTTGAAATGACAACAAAGTGTTTAGACTATTACATAAACTTAGTAAAGCAACAGCAGAGTTCAAGAGAATTTACTCCAATTTTGAAAGTCCTACTATGAGTAAAGTGCCAACAAACAGAGAAATCTTTCATGAAAGGAAGAGTCTATCAATGCAGCAGACTTTACTGTTGTCTTATTTTAAAAAACTGCCACAGCTGTCCCAGTGTTCAGCAGCCACCATCCTAGATCCATCAGCAGCCATACACATGAAGGCAAGACCCTCTACCAACAAGATTACAGCCTCCTGAAAACTTAGATGGTCATTAGCATTTTTTAGCAATAAAATATTTTTAAATTATGGCATTTACATTTTTTGGGACATATGCTATTGTACTTAATGGATTGTAGTGTAGTGTAAACGTAACTTTTATACATACTAAGAAACCAGAAAAGTTGTTGATTTGCTTTATTACAATATTCACTTTATTATGGTGGTGTGAAACTGAACCTGCAATATCTACAAGGTATGCATATATAAATAAAATCATTTATACAATAATGCTAGCTTGCTAATAACCTCTGTACTTCAGAGATACAGAGTGGAAATTATCAGTACCTAAATGGTGGTCTGAGAGAAGTTCCACAGAACCATCCTCAGCAGAAAAACCATAACTAGTGAAAAGTCTTTTTTTAAAAAAACTATTCAAAGTCTCTGGAAATTATCCTAAGATTACATAACAAATCAGCAAGCAAGAAAACATATATTTGAGAAAAGCTGCTAAATCTCAGTAAAAATAATTTGTGGCCCTTGAGTTATGACCTGCTTTTTGCCTCCCCACACCCCCAGATTAGCATGACAGAAGCTTCACTTCAGCCCTGTATGGCCAGGAAGATGGGGCTCCATTTCCCTCCAGCTTCTAGTCAAGGGCAACAGTATCTCCATAGGAGGAGCACATGGCTAGTATTTTTTAACTCCCTCAGCTTCATGTTGCAGATGCTAAACTCTAAAGAATACCACCAAGAAGTTGTTAGATTCCTTCCCACAGGGCAGAGATCTGGCCAAAAAGCTCTGACTCCACTCAGCAGGCCAAAAAACTAGGGCCTCAACTGCTTTCACCTCATTTTGTTTATAGAAAGGAGAGAGGTTCCACATGGGAGAGGCAAGCTGAGAAGACCAGAGGCTACCACCCTCATCCACTGTCTTTCTCATAAAGGAGAAATGTCACTCCAAGAGAAGTAGGCCACCTTCCCCAACCTGGTGCCAGAGCAATGACTCAGAGAATTTGCCCAGCATGGGAAGCAACCTTAACAACAGAAACTCTGCAGCTCTCCTCAAAGAACTAACTTTATATGGAGTATGGGAAAGTTCCAACCTAATGGGGCTCTGAATAATGAACATTTTAACAGTAAACACTTAAGAATTAAGAATAACAGCTAAAAGTATAGCCCCTGGTTTACCAGAGAAAGCCAGAGCTAGAGATAGCTAGGATTCATCCTGATAGGATAGGAACAAACCTCAAAATGACCTCACAACGGAGTCTCCATTTAATTGAATCAGCCTGTGGTACAATTTATGCATGAGGACATTGTTGAAAACAGTAGAATAATCAGCTGGCAGTTAGAGAGATGTCAAGAAAGACAGAAAGCATTAACAAAGAGATCAGAGGAAGAGACAGTCAAAGAGTCCTGCTAAGTCAGCCGGGCATGGTGGCATGCACCTGTAGTCCCAGCTCTCAGGAGGCTGAGGCAGGAGAATCTCTTGAACTTGGGAGGTGGAAGTTGTAGTGAGGGAAGATCACACCACTGCACTCTGGCCTGGGTGACAGAGCAAGACTCCGTCTCAAAAGAAAGAAAATAAAAAAGATTTCTGCTAAATCCAGTGTCATCAGTGTCATTGAAGGATAATTGTATGTATGCTCACTCAAGGCTGGATACTCTCAGGTATATCAGAAGCTTCATACTGTGGGAGAAACAGACTTAAATTAAATATTTCAACCAAGTCACTAAACAAATAAGCAAATAACAACCACAAGCTCCAGCTGCCTGAAAGATGGCCTAGATGTTGTACTTAACCAACAAAAACTTCCAAGCAGCCATTATAAATATATTCAGAGAACTAAAGGAAGCCATGCTTAGAGAAGTAAAGTAAGGCCAGATGCAGTGGCTCACACCTGTAATCTTAGCATTTTGGGAAGCTGAGGCAGGAGGATCACTCAAACCCAAGAATTTGGGACTAGCCTAGGCAACATGGCAAAACCCTGTCTCTACAAAATGAAAAAAAATTAGCTGGGTATAGTGGCATGTGTCTGTTGTCCCAGCTACTCAAGAGGCTGAGATGGGAGGATCACTTTTGCCTGGGGAGGTCAAAGCTACAGTGAGCTGTGATTATGCCACTACACTCCAGCCTAGGAGACAGATGAGATGTCTAAATAAAAAAAGAAAGAAAAAAAAGAAAAGGTAAAGTAAGGTATGATGACAATGTCTCCTCAAATACAGAAGGTCAATACAGAAACAGAAATTATATTTTTAAAGCAATGGAAATTCTGGAGTTGAAAAGTACAATAATGGAAATGAAAATTTTATTGGAAACACTCAAAATATATAAAAGCAGAGAAGAATCAGTGAACTTGGAAGACGTCAATAGAAATTATGTCATTTGAAGAACAAAGAAAATAACAAAGAGCCTCAGAGAAGTTAATAACAAAGATAACAGAAAATAACAAAGATAACAGAGCATCAGATAAGTTTAGGACAGCATTATGCTCACCAAGAAATTTATAGGAGTATCAGAAGGAGAGGAGAGAGAGAAAAAACAGAAGTATTTTAAGAAAGAATGACTGAAAGTGTCTCAAATTTGATGGAAAATGTTAATCTACACATCTAAGAAACTCAACAAACTCCAAGTAGGATAACCACAAATATCCATACCCAGACATATCATAGTCAAATTGTCAAAAGCCAAAGGCCATGAAAGAATCTCAAAAGTGCTGAAATAAATATTGAATGGCATTTTTTTTCTTTTATTTAACTCATGTTTCAGAAGTTCTGTCCTCAAATATCTTTGTGACCTTAGGCAGTTCACCAGACCTCCATGGGCCTTCATATTCCATCATTAAGCTGAGAGTTTAGATTACACTGTCTTTAGGTAGAGATCATAGACACACAAAAAAAGTTTCTGTGATTTGCCATAAAAGAAATGATTTGATTTTTCCGTAGAAGTGTTGATTCCAGATTGTTTATTCTTTTTAAATGTGGATTTTAAAATTCTTTTATCTCAAGTGTTATTAGTTACTGGGATTTAATCTGTTGAGAGTTTTATAATTTGTTATACAGGAAAATTCTATTGGTTTTTCCCTAAAGAAAGTTTTATTGGCTTTAATCTATGGATCTTTTATTACATTTCTTTACTACTACTGAAAAGTAAATTTACCTTCCTATTTATCTCTCCTACTGAACCTGGCCACCCCACCTTTAATCCAAGTTGCAGAGTAAAGTCAGAGTGGGCTTTTAAAAATAACAATCAATTCATGTCACTTGTTTGATTAAAACCAAAAGACCCAAATCTTTCCCAAGAGTCTATGTGACCCTGCATTACCTGGCCCACCTCTCCAGATGGATTGTTCACTTCTCTGCCTGACACTCCAGCATTCCATATTCCAACCACCCTGATCTTTAACTTCTTTCATTCACTATATTCCTTTCTACCTCAGGGCCATAAGAACTTTTATATGCAAGACTGTTACCTTCCCCTCTTTACCTGGTAAACTCCTATTTTTACTTCAGTACTCAATTTTGGACTTAACAGACAAAACCTTCAAAGCAGCCATTATAAATATATTCAGAGAACAAAAGGAAACCATGCTTAGAGAAATAATCTTTTACTCAGATACACCTTCCCTGACCAAACCCTCACTCATCTGCACACACACACACACACACACACACACACACACACTCTCAAGGTCATGGCTATCTAGTATGTGCTTTTAAAGTACTATGTAATACTATCCATTGTTTTTGTTTATAATACTTATAGTTTATTTGATTATTTTATAATTGTCTCTCCCATGTAAATTCTTAAGTGTTTTGGTCCTTATTGTTAATTCCAGTGCCTTGTATACTGTAGATACTGAGTAAAAATTTTCCTTAACATCATGTACTTGTTTTCATTGATGGGTTATCTTTTTCATTATTGAGAAGGAAGCTTTCTTTTTTTATCTAATAGCTTAATATTAATAATTATAGGTTAATTGATATTTTACCATCATTTATGGGGCTCTAGGTCTCCTTAGAGTTTAGTGCTAGTTGTAATGAACCCTTTCTTATGAGCTGACTCATAAGCAGATTAATGTCACGCAAAGATGTAAACAAAACCACATAAACTAAATATCTACCACTTGGCAAAAATTTAACTAACTCGCTAAAAGTTTTTGGTCCTTTCTATGCCATTTTGATCCAGAACATGAAACTTGTGATACCAAACATATGAACACATAAATTATAATATTAGCCGAATACCAATAATGGCATGACTCATAGTAATCTATGACGATTCTACTTCAGTGTGTGGGTAGAGAGAGTGTACATTTGACAAGTTTGTCCCATTTGGCCACCAGAGATAAGAGGATTGCCATTTTTAAGTTATAACTATAAAGCTTCTTTGTTGGTGGTAAAAGGGGCTTGACAGGTAACAAATCTGCCTCATTTGGTAAACAGAGTCAGTGAGGGTATCTGCTTTAAATGAGAGCAGTAACAAGTTCTCCAAATAGTGCCAGAACTGACCCTTAAGGGTACATTCATTTTTTATCTTTTCCACATGTAAGTGACTTATAAGTGAGAAAACTTTTAAGAAAACTTCTAAGTGACTGAATCAGACAAACAGTGGATGCATATTTTGAGAAAAAGCAAAATGAGGATCAGTAATGAAACCTCTGATGAAACCTGTGTTGGTGGGGACATCTAAGAGTGATGATGAATGACAATGAGTCTGATAGAAAAAAAATACTGATCTTATACTATTTGTAGATGATACCACCTTTGATGGGCTTACATTCTAGTTAACGGGGCAGGAGATGAACATACAAAATATTCTGAAATTGTTTTAAAGGGTTCAGCATTTAAAGTGTTAAAGTATCACAAACATTAAGTACTATAGTATAGAAGTAGGCTTTAACCTTTATTTTCCATTTTTATTAATATTTTAGTCCAAATTGTATTTGTTTTAGATTTTACATAATTTTTTCAGTCATAGGTCTCATGACTTTGCCTACTTTTAGTACTTTGGAAATGATTAAGCCTCTTAAATACTGTAGTAAGAACACTTATCACAAGGTCTATCCTCTTAATACCTTTTTGAGTGTACAGTATAGTTTTATTAACTATTGGCACTGCGGTACAGCAGATCTCTAGAATTCAATCGTCTCCCATAACGGAAACATTATACTGATTGAATAGCAACTCCATATTCCCTCTTCCCCCTAGGCCCAGCAATCACCATTCAACTGCTGCTATATGTTTGACTGTTTTAGATACCTAATATAGTAGAATCATGCAATATTTGTTCTTCTGTGACTGCCTTATTTCATTTGCTATAGTATCCTCTAGGGTCACCCATGTTGTCTCATGTAACATCATTTTCTTCTTTACAATGACTGAATAATGTTCCATTGTATTGTATATATTACATTTTCTTTATCCATTCATCTGTCTAAATAAGCTTTAGTGTGAATCTCTATCCACATAACATAAATAGATGGGTAATTGACAACATCTAAGCATCTCTCTTTGGGAATTATATAAAAATAAATTTTCCTTATATGGATAGTTACTAAGAAAACACTTTACTAAGAAAACACTTTCATGGTGATAGCTTTTAATTATTTATTTTACAATTAGTCTGAATTATTAGAAATCTGTTTTAACTAATAAAAACGTGTCTTTTTTTGAGTTGTACATTTTATTTATTTTAGTTTTCAAATTTTTTCTTTTTTTTTATTATTCTACTTTTAAGTTCTGGGGTACATGTGCAGATCATGCAGGTTCGTTACATAGGTATACGTGTGCCATGGTGGTGGTTTGCTGCATCCATCGCCCTGTCATCTACATGAGGTATTTCTCCTAATGCTATCCCTCCCCTATCCCCACACCCCCTGCTATTCCTCTCCTAGCCCTCCAACCCCCAGACCTCAGTGTGTGATGTTCCCCTCCCTGTGTCCATATGTTCTCATTGTTCAACATCCACTTATGAGTTAAAACATGTGGTGTTTGGTTTTCTGTTCTTGTGTCAGTTTGCTGAGAATGATGGTTTCCAGTTTCATCGATGTCCCTGCAAAGAACATGAACTCATCCTTTTTCATGGCTGCATAGTATTCCATGGTGTATATGTGCCACATTTTCTTTGTCCAGTCTCTCATTGATGGGCATTTGGGTTGGTTTCAAGTCTTTGCTATTGTGAACAGTACTGCAATAAACATATGTGTGCATGTGTCTTTATAATAGAATGATTTATAATCCTTTGGGTATATACCCAGTAATGGGA